GGTCGCGGATTATTGCGTGCAGTAATGAATCGGTTTCATTAATCGTATCGATTACACGGTTCAAACCAGAATCAAGTGTTCCGCGCTGAGCTTTATTTAAGTGGTGATTTTTCTTCGCGTCCTTCCTTCACGCGATTAATTAAATATTTTGGAATATCAATATCGAAGTCGTAAGTAATTATGGAAATAGAAGCGACTTCGAATTCATTTGATAAATTTTCATTATTTCAATTCTTAATTGAAATTACACAGTTTGAACGAAAAACTGTACAATTTATTATCGATGAAATTAATATTCTAACGGAAACCATTTTCATTGTGAACAGTTTACACTGTAAATTAAAGCATTGCAATATCTATATCTTATTGATTGTTGTTTTCAACAATGTTGAATTTATTTTTCAATACTTTTAGAAAGGGCGTTGATGAAATAATTGTTTAAATAATAATGTAAACGTTAGTTAAGTATAATTTGTAGAATGTACGTAAAATTATTAGCACTTTGTTATGAAGTTGTCTTGAGTGTTAAAAACTTGTGTAAATTAATTTTACGTAATTAAAATTTTATATTCAAAGTTTAAGAAAAATATCATTTTGAAAATGTCTAAGTTATTTAATAAAATATTTAACATAATTTATAAACAGATAATTATTATCTTATGACGTAACACACTATTTTTTCTGTGTTGAAAATATTCTGAAGATGAAATTGCATTTAAAGCTCAAAATTGAAAATATGTTTTATCTTTAATTAATAATATGAACGCGCTGTTCTGTATGTTTTCTCTAAATAATTTTAAACTTCAACCGTAAAATAACAGAAATAAGAATGAAACGATTTCAATTAAGTTCAGTAAAATTTGTGTCTGCAAGAGTTAAATAATACTTCCTACATTATTGGTTTTTGAAATAAATATACTGGATTCATATATTTGATTACGAAAGAGAAAAACGTGAAACTTTGAAAGCAGAGATTTGCAATTTTTCTTTCATGTTTATATATGGTATCGCAAACTGCAATCGTAAAAACAAGAATCAAGTTTCCAATATATAAAAGGAAGCTGAACAAATTTACAGAAACTTTTGTGTCGACGTATTTTAAATTACATACATAGTTGCCCCTATTCTTTCAATACTTTCAGAGAGCTTGTCGGAAAATCTACATGTACAATGAAATACATGCATACATATGTACATCTGACAAGAGATGAATATTTCGATTGAAATTAATTAAAGTACCGCATTTCGTTTCCCCATGGTAAATTGATTCATAATATGAAACCATTATTTATTCATCTCGATTGATTATCATGCACAACATTTAAAGTGTTTCTTTTTTTTGACACTATTGTTGCTTATTAAGTTTCAATTTTATATCTATTTACAATGAGTCGAAACATTAGGTATAAACAAAGTATTCACGCGTGCAAGAAGATGCGAGGGGAAGCAATAGCTACTATTAACTGATACTAACGTCAAATATTAATCAGTTGTTAGTTTCATAGAAGCATTTACATTTTATTGTGTTTTTGTAATCATAATGAAATGAAATACAAACTTGTACTCGTGTTTGTACCAGTACGTCTGCATTAATTGTTATTAGATATTCTTCATTCTGAGAATAAACTGCTTCGTACTTATATAAACCAAAAATGTATTCATTCATTTTAGAACGGTGTTCTTCTCAGTTTTGTAATTACTTGAATTTTACTTTTGCGGAATACTTATGTTTTAATATTAGAAAGTTGTTTAAAAAGGTTTATCATGGTTTCTCGGAGTAAGTATTGCTTCTCCTGAACGAAATGTTCTGTATAGGTACTTGAAAAATATGTCAACTAATGTAACAGGAAGCTATGAATAGTAAGATTACAACATAGTGCATTTATGATAAAAAATGTGCACTTGAAGTATATATTGTTCCAGAAATTCAAGAAAATAATAAATTGGAAATTTGTAAAAACAGTAAGCTATTATTTCTATACAATCGTATCTCATTCATCTTTTTTAATAATCTTGAAAATGTCAAAAGAAATCACTTGAAAATAATAATTTAATTTTTAATACAAATTTTAATAAAAATAATAATTTTTTTTACACATTACTCTATGGATAGAGTGTGAAGGTGCAGAAAAATAATTACATAATAGATGTAATACAGTGCTTAACTTAATACTCTAATACAGTGCTTAACACGTTTAGTGGGAAGTCGATACATGTATCGAACAGGTGCTTTTCAGTGACGAAGTTCAACGCATGTACTAAACGGCCTACAACCCTGCCACGACCACTTCAGATTTTCATAAATAGTAAATTATTTCCAACCAATTATAACAGTACAATTAGGCAAAAGATATATTGACGAAGTTTCCGTCGCTGGAATTAGAATTGAGTATTTATAATTCTCTCGCATTGAACGCGTTAAGTTTCCATTGTCATTTATAAATACAAAGTCGAACGAGATAATACGTAATTTCAGTTAAAAAATATCGATGACTTTAAAGTTTCGCAAAATGACCTTGAAAAAATTCGTTTCATCAGAAAATATACTGCTTTAAACTAAATATATATTCCCTGGGAAATTTCCTCACGTTTAGTTTCAGATATTTTAGCTTTTACATTGAAAAATATTTTTGTTATAACAGTAATGTACACTTAAGACCAATGTGTACATTCATTTTATGGAAGAGATGAACGTCTTATTATATTAATAGTAAACGGTTATTATTAATACTGACAAATTAAAAAGATCAAAGTGATTAATTTGTAAGTATTAACACATAAATCAGTAATTATTAATAATTCACAACTATCTCCGGTAAATCTAAGGAAATGAGTGGAAGAATATTACGCGTACTATTTTTTGTAGTATAGATTTGTTATTTTGTTAAAACTTCTATCTATAGAAATAAATAAGTAATTTATAATCAGATAAATGTACAACTAAATATATAAGATAATTGTCCTATTTTCTGTACTACAGTTTTTCCAATAAAAACTATTTTGTCAAAACTTCTTTCTGTACAAGAATAAAGAAAAAATGTATAACTACCTTAAAAAATGTGGTATAAATTTGTTTATAAATAGTAGAAAGTAGCACAAGAAAATATTTTTATTAAATTTACCAAGCTACACGAGTAATTATTAATTGTTGGTAAATATAATTGTTACAATTTATTATTTATATTTACCAAAAGGCTATTATTAATAATGGCCTGTTATTATTAATACAAATCGGATTTATTGTATCAACCGTAACATGTATATAATTTATTGATTATATTTAAGGACGAAAGCATCTTTCTTTGAGATAATTCTAACCGTACAATTATCTTTAATATTTCATGTACTTTCCTCTATATTCTAAATATTAGAGACCAGTAAAAATGAAACAATTTTAGATAAATTGATTATTGGATCAGATAAAAATTTGACAAATAAATAATATATTTACAAGTCGTTATACGATACAAACGTTTTAATGGTGTTGCTGTAAATTTAGAATCCCGAATGTACCTCACTTTTAAGAATTGAACTCGCAATTTATTCAGCTTTTCAACTCTACTTGCTCGATTTGTATTCGTGAAGCTAACATCTAGCCTGTATAAAGTATAATATGTATTACAAACGTGTCCATCCGCAACAGCTAGAAGGTTAATACAGGAACCAGCATTTATTTCCTGTTCCGTATAATGCACTCGATTCGTCCGATTTATGGAATCCAACTTCAGAATGATTAATTATTATGGAAGAAAGTACACGAAAACTCGAGTTCTTCTATCAATATCTGCAGGCCAACCTTTATCTATCGCAAATCCTACTATATATCTTTTACACTGATACCATTTTTTGCTGTTTCGGATGTAAACTGTCTATTATTCATGGGATTGCATGGCAAATCCGTAGAATCCAATGGGCAATTCGATTTTTTAAACCTACTCCTCTGTTATCTTTATTCCATGAGAAATTACTTATTAGCAATCTCTTTCTAAGTTATCAGCGTGTGAGATTAGGTGTATTAAAAATATATACTAATTATCACACTTATCTGGGTACTGAATTTTAATTGTTTCTACATTAATATTATTTCATATCAATTATATATGCTTCGCAATATTTGAACTTCTGTTATCAACTGTTATTGTATATTATTTAATAAACATTTAGTATGTAAGAATTTTACATGAATTATAGTAGGATAAACCGTTTAACTATTTGTTCCTTTTTATCATTGCTGTAATTATAATAAATCTTTTATTCAAACTTATTTTTGTTAAAATCCTAGGATTATTAAAATTTATTGGTAAATTAATTTTCATTTATCGTGCTACTATTACACTTGATAGAAAGAAAATTGAATTGATAGAAAGCTTGATAGAAAGTAATATTTTTATAAGTTCACAAATTGAATAAATTTTGTTTCATTTACTATATTTTTAGGCTGCAATGTTAAATGTCTTAAATGCACACAGTAATACGAACTAAAAGTTGTTAAAAGACTTTTATAGAAATTAAGTATAGAAATGGAAATGCATTTTTTGAGAATGTTTAATGTTACTTTATATGTCTTAGAATATTTGTTAAATAATTATGCACATAAAAGTTTATTCCTAAGGAAAACTATTGTAAGAATGTTTCATCATTAGAGTGAATAATTTGATCATCGTTTTTCATAATTTATATTAAGTGACATATTATGGACAATTTTACTAAAGATATGCATCGTATTTTACTCTACGATTTTATTATAAAAATGGTACCAGTTGTATTACGATTTTGTTATAAAAATGGTACCAGTTTTACTACGATTTTGTTACAAGAATGGTACCAGTTATATTACGATCTTGTTATAAGAATGGTACAAGTTAGAAAGTACTTTAATAACTCCTATTTAATTTTCTTTTGTAAGGAAATTAACCAGACTGTGGTAAAAAGCTGTGGGAACGTAAAAATTCGTGTAAGAAACTGTATGAAAGTCGAGACTAAAGGAAGTTTAGTTTTACCTTTTAACGTTGACGTGTTACTCGTTGGTGGCTTTGTTGTATAATTTACTTCTTCATCCACAAACACGTAGCTAGCGTTAAATCCCGTTCCGTCGTATCTGTCGTTACTTTTAAAAGTCACACGAAAGAACTTTTTATCGCTCGCTACGTCGAACTCCTTCTGCTGACCACATCGCCTCGGGTACTTCCTGTCCCTGCCCACGTAATTTGAAAATTCGACGAAGTCGCTCGCAGACACCCCGTCGCATCTGTGAAAGTCAGAATTACACGTGTTTCTTAATCTCGAATTTCATTATAGCATTTAATTAAAAAGCTATAATTACACTGTGGAACAAATTTGAACCTTTTTTGTGACTTACAATAATCACTAGGTGATTCTTATAGAGTTCCTTACCCTAAATACGAATCCGAAAACCAAATTGCTGGGTCACATCCAGTTATCGAAAAAACTGGATTTTTGTAAAAACGGTCGAATTTTTCAGAGAACCAAGTGTTACGTGAAAACTAAAAGCGATAGGCAGTTAAAATTTGTCGTATAAAATAGAAAGGACTTGCCCGAATATGCAGTTATAAAAATTTTGAATTTTACTTATCATTAAATGTTTGTAAATGATGATCAAAGTTTAAAAAAGGGTAGATGCGCGTAGTTTGTATGCACTTCTGTTACATTTCTGAGAAAAGTGGGTTGGCTAGCACGAATTTGCTATGCATCATTGGATTCTGCAGACATTTCTGAAAAGGAACCTCCCCGCAGGAAGTGTGAGAACGGTTTTTCTTTCGGACAGGTTAAGAAAATGTCCGCGAAGAGCGCGTGCACGGAACTTTGGCGCCACACGGCTATCGCTCGTCAGTCATACCTATTAAGAGCCGTGATTACGCGCTGTATAGACCCGGACCCTGCTCACTTCTTATATGTATGTATAATGTTTAATTGTTTTATAAATTTTCATAATAGTTATGAAACAGAATGAAATCGTCTAGACACGCTTTTATGTGATATAAAAAAGTATACAGCATTCTATTTAAAAAAATGAAGGTCACTTTCATATCTAACAAAATAGTATAAATACAAAAAGATTATATACGCCATTGTGTTGTGTATAAAAAACAGTACTACTTTTTCTTCTTTCATTTTTTTCTAATATTTAGTATTTACAAGAAAAACGCTGGCTAGTAATAGTGTGAATACCTTATATAGTTTATATAAATGTTTGTATTGTACTGGGCTACTTTTGAAATTGTATTACTGCTTTCTATTTGAAAATTAGTGAACATTTTGTTACGTTAAAATGCACGACAATATCGGTCGTAATATAATGCACCACAGAATTGCATTCGATATTACACTGGAAAAGTTGTCTGGTGCAAGCATGTAAAAGTCTACGAATTTCTACGAAATGAAAAACATGGCGCGATTGTGGCACATCTAATCAGATTTTATACATTTTTTCAACAAATTTCAATCGTAGGTGTTACATGAAGCATACTTTTGTAAGTTTTTAATAACAAAGTTTCAAAGGTTGTTGCTATCAAATACATGAAAAATTAATTTCTTTTGTAGAGATCTTCAGTACAGCCAAATTATTGTAAATAAATTGATATAAGTATAAATATATATAAATATAAAAATATGCAATATAACAGTAGTTTTTTTTATAATATCAAGTAGATAAGATTTTTAATGTTAAACATTTTTAGTACAAATACGATTTTTTATTAGTCTGAAGATTTATACCCAGGGTAAAGTTTTATCTCAATTTTTTACAGTGGTACATATGATAGATAGTAATCAAATAAATTAAAGCTGGTAATCTTCGTGAACTATAAAATGGAGGAAAGAAATATGGAAAGAAATATTCATATCAGGCTTAAACTTTTGTGATATATTATTAAAATTTATAAATTTTTGTCATATTGTCATATTAGAGTTACATAATGTTTTCACTGTTATTTTTTCTTGCTCACTGTTTAAGTCAGGACAGTTACATGTAATAAATAGGGTAAACATTCATTCTGCAAAAGACAAAATTTGAACGACTTTAATTGGGCAGTAATAATGAAAACAAATATACAATTTCCAATAATAAAATGATACTCGCATCAAACGAGATTTGGAGTTTCATGGTATTTCAATGATATGTTGATAAATTTACCGTTTAATTATTGGATACAATGTTTGAATTTCGAATTATATCAAGAGCCAACAATTTCCAATAATAAAAATGTTCGCTCCAAATAATCAACAATTTTTTATTAGTCTGTATTATAATTTAATTTTCTTTATTATAAATATGTAAGTAATCGAATATGTAGTTATATTACTTGGAAATAATTCAATTTTTAAAGAGAAAATAATTAAAGTAATTATTTATTATACATTTTTTCTGTTATAGCTTTATTTTAATTTTGAAGAATACAAAAATATTTCTTAGAACAAGATTTAAACATTAAGAGATGATTTTTCATTGATAAAAATTCTTGAATTGATAATTTACTGTCAGTTAGTCACACAATTGGTAGATTTTAAAAGTTGAATTTCGTTCTAATATTTTGGTTTGAATTGATAATAAAAAAGATGATATCATAGTTCATCATAAGCAACTTCGAAAATAAACGCATATGACTTTCTTTTTGTAGTTTGCATGCTATTTAACTAAATTGCCACAGAAGTACTTACAATTATTCATCGTAATCATGTGATTTTCACTTCGAAAGATATGTCGATCTACATAATCGAACACTGTCAATCTCTTTTCGATTGGTAAAGGATTTTTTCTTCTATTAAAGATTATTCATTCTTGCGTTATTTATCTATCACTCGATAAACAATTTTAAGTTAACACTTTCCCGAAAGAAATCGTAGTTCTACGTCATTTCAAATTCTTTAGTTGAATATATTTTTAAAACTTGAACAGCAAATGACTATAAGTGTCATACTGATATTATCTTAAGACCGATAAGAGGTAACGAATAAAAGTTTAAACGAAAGATATATTGTCTTTTCGCATCTACAAAATTGTAAAATAAAATTTAGGTCAAAATTTTGAAGAATTTGAACTTTTTGTCAAATTTTACTTCGCAATTTTATTGCAATTTACCGTCTTCGAAATAATTTACGGGATAGAAAAATTTGTATTTTTTTTAAAGGGGTGGTCTCACCAGTTCAAAGTGAGTTTCGACACAAAAAAAAATTTTAATGATTACGTTCCATTTACTCTACTTACACACAAAGTTTCATCATTTCTTCAATTTCCGGGTTGCCGTACTCAGCTACAGATTTTTAGAAATTAAATTCCGTATTCAGCTAAACGCTTCGTTCTGCTATGGCTCGTAGCGAAAGTGTTAGTAGTAAAAATATAAATAATAAACCATAAATGAATAATTAATTGAATCCGTCAAGAGATTATAAAATCAACTACAAATCAGTCATATCGAAAATTTGTATCCCGGCCACAATTACAACATGTGAACATAAACCTATTTATTTTAAACGTCCCAACAATAAAACACTTATTTCCACATAAATAGTAAAAAAATTGAAATATATAAATTTCAGAAAAAAGAAACTTACTAACCTCTATTACCAACGTTCAAAGTACATCGGAGAATACACCGAACAAGCATATCAATTCTGACGTACCTTGCGGTGACCACTCTATTTAGAAACCCTGAAAATTTATGGCGCGACCTACTTTAAAGCGGAAGAGAAGTTCTCCGTGTAACTCGTCCGATTCTATTATGTATAAAATACAAACGCAGGTGTATTATTCAAGGGATATCTAAGCTCGCCGCGGCGGCCGCGCGGGAAATTTATATTTTCGACGAAGTCGGACATTATACAGTCGCCCGTAAATTGATATACATGGACGATGAAGTGTCCGGAAAAGGACGGCCCTGAAATATTCACCTTTCGCGGGGAATATCGAGGGGGGAATTCGAATGCTTTTTCTCGGTCTTCTTGTGGCTGCTCATAAATTGCTTTCATAGCCGTGGACCGGCAATTCCATAAGTAATTCAATCTTGGCTCTTCCCGCGCATAACTTTAATATACATGCGTACTCAAGCCGCATGGAGCGGCTTTACAATCAGAATCCTTTGGATATTCCCGCCCTCAGATTTTATTCCGGTCTTCGAGCTCCATAAATATTTCTCGCCGTTTCAGCGGGAAGTCAACGAATCCGTTCGCCGATTACGTAACCCGCGATTAAAGTTCGAGAACGCCGCCGACGCCCCGTCAGAAACAACGTTTTATTTCTGCACGACGTTCCCGCCGCGCGATGTGCCAAGTTCGATTTTTTGTTCCGTTCGGCTGCGCGAAAATAACTTTAATGGGAACGTGCACGGTCGAAGGAACGTCACGGTTCAGCCAATTGTTCACGATGGAAATAACAGAAATGTAACTTGCAAACTTCTCGTATTCGGAAGAATTAATTAGTAATGTTTTATTTACAGAACAGCGACGCTGTTAGAAGATTGAATTTTGTTTTGTAGATTAAAGGGATTATGTATAATTAGGTGGCTCGCGATAATCGGATTTTCCACAGTCAATGCCACTTTAACTTGTTAATTGTGGAATTTAGTCTGAAGAATCGCTCGTTTTGCGCATAACGAAATCAAATAATGAAGCGTGTACTCATCAAACGCAGAACGAATGCACTTAGGGTATATTTCAATGAAAAACCAAAGCAAAATGAAGAAGAATTACATGTTTACGTGAAAAAATAAATAATTCATTGTTCAAAGAATTATGTAGTGTCATTTCGAGCTTAAACCCTTTGTAGTCCAACGGTGAGTCATAATCACGATCTCAACTTACATGAACAATTTATCTTAATTCCAACATTCGTTCTTACTTACTGTTCCATTATTTACATTAATGAAGTGATCTAATTGGAATCTGTACAAATGTGATAAAAATAAGTTTCCAAAATGTATTTTATAATCATTTTTTTATGAAGACAAAACCGACTGATATAAACAAAATTTGACTTTATGAAAATGCGGTATTATCATTCGATGTGCTTTGTTTTGGTAAAGTAATATTATAATAATATAAGAAAAATAAAACTGGCACTCAGAACAGAAAAAGGTAAGAGACATCAAACAATATACTTTTGTAACACTTGTCCCAAAAAGCCTGGAATGCACCTTGGTGAGTGCTTTTTAAAATACCATACCCAACACAACTATACAACACAAGGTTTAAATATTATATTTCTAACATGTAAAGATATATAAAACATTCGAA